GGGGGAGGATTAGCCAGGCCAAAATGCGCCTCATTTAAGGGATTATTTCATTGGTCTTTCGACTTTAAGTGAATTTCCGTGGACCGATGTTTCATTTTACGGACACCAGTTGTAAAAGAGACAATTGCGACGCCATAGGAAAGTTAGCTTTCACTTTACGTTTTCTACTTCTTGTTCATTTCCTGCTGCTGCTTTAAGTGTGCTCAAGTGTACTTATTGTTTTTCTCTCTTTTTGAAACTGCTTTTAGTTATGATACAGTTTCCTATGATCATTGACATCGCTGTTTCAAGGTTATCATCATTATTGGAGTGCGAAATCTACGCTATCGGTGTCCAATAAACAACTTATTCACTTTTACTGAATAACTTATGGATTCCTTAGCAATGTTCTATTTTATTTGAAATCCGATTTTAGTGAAAAGACCGTTATTTTCGTGTGGGATTGTCAGCACTTTTACTTGCGCTCTGGAGCTAATTTGGCCCCCTCTGAACTGCCACACGGTATATTCATGTGGTAAAAAATGTATACTAACAGGCAATTGACTTCAAACTACCATTCTCCGACTTGTGTCATATTCGACCTCTTCCACAGTACTCACCTCTCCTTTTCTCTATCTTTGTGTCTGTCTCTCATACATCTGTGAATCACTCTTCTCTTCCCCCCTCCCTCGACATTTTGTGACTTTGATGCTACCCCCCCCCCCCCTCCTCTGTGAAGCCCGACCTAGATGTCATAAAGCCTCCAATTTGATATAATAACAAGGTATGCCTGGACCAATTGATGTCTGCGCAATCCTTGGGTGCGCAAGTGGTCGCTTAGAGAATGCATCAGGGAAAACCTTTTTATCTTACCTCGATAGTGCATTCGAATTCTTCTTTGAACTTTCAATCACGTTTCAGACACATCTTGGTTCTGGTTTGTTTCCTCCTTTCCAGGGAAGAGGGATTGTATAAATGTTTCAAGATGTGAGATTGTTGTTTCCGTGTTAAGTTCAATCCTTCGAGTTTGGGTCTTGAACATTTCATAAATCTACTCTCATTTAACTCAACCGAGCACAGATTGAAATCGCTATGGACTAAAAGTTGGATTAAGAAGAATTTTCAATTTTTTTAAATAAGAATCATTATTTCTAAAATTGGGGTGCTTCAGCACCTTTAAATTACTACCTCCCCTGGTACAGTCTTTTTAGTTTGAATCGGGATATGCCACCTAATTGGTTGAAAAAACATCATGTTTTGTAATTCATATTATATTTGTCTGGTTATTTGCTGTAAATTTATCTGAAAATGAGGTTAGGAATTTTATTTTTCTTGCCTCTACTTACTTGCTTGTATTTGGTCAAATTTGCATTCACTTTTAGAGTTTCTGTAATAGTAAAACCCCAGGCAAACCTAGTTATGAATGCATATTGCTAATCTAGAACTGTGCCACTTGCTTGCTGCTGGCCTTGAAACTTTTCTTGCGCTCAATCCGAATTCAAAACAAAGACTAATTAAATGCCAAACACGCCCTTTGGTAGAAGCTAGAGAACACGAGATGTTCACGGTTCGATTTTCGCCTATTTTCACTCAATGATTGTGTATTTTCTTTCGAAATAAGTACTTTCTGACTAAGTAGATAAATGCCTTAAACAAGTCCATTTTACGTTGACTCAATTTGGTATTTGAAATTGATCTAATTACGAATTATTTATGTTTTTATCAATACTTTCTTCATTTGTCTTTCCTGTTCACGTAGTTTTTACGGAGTACCTCCTTTTTGAAGAGCTGAGAAAGCGGTGCTAAATCTCGTTTCCAGCCAATTTATTTGCCATTTTTTGAGTAATAAATGTTCAATACGTGAAAATCGTTTTTAATCATTCGTAAATAAACCACTGCGCAAAAGATATAGATATACACGGATTCACCGTTTTTTTCGTTCTCGTCTGCATACTGTTGCTTAAAAAGCAAAAAAATGTGTTATCTAATGACAGAAAAGTTTTGCTTTTGCATAGCTCCAGCTTACGTTTTTCGCTTTATTTGTATTTGTGGGAATCGTCTCTATCAAAAATAAATCCTTAAAGCATATTCGCCTTTTTAAATGGAATTGACTTTGCTGAATTTATTACTCAATCTCTCTTATCATGTTCCTGTGTTCATCATAGGTACTTGAAGTATCCATAACTTAATCAACCTTCTAAACCAGTTGCTCATTTGGCCAAAATGGCATATCGAAGATGCGATTGGAAAGTTGGTTGTGCGTATCTTCCAACACGCCATCTACCGACTAAAAAGGGCATGAAATTTGAAATCATTTTCCTAAAATCAAATAAATTTTAATGATCATGGTTCCAGTCTGTCTCTCTTTGTCTTCAATGTTGGGAAGATTTGAGAACTTTTAGTTGGCTCTTGCTAATTCCTTGAAACACTTCTTGTAAACATTACTTGGTATTTACAGTTAGTGTTAAAAAATGCCAAGATCATGCCATCTCTGGTTGCTCCCGTGCTTCTAATTACATCCATATGTCAGTATCAACAGAAGTTAAGGAAGGTCTTAAGGGTATTACTTGTCCTCCGAATGCATCTAACTCCCAACAGGATTTAAGCAATATATCATGATCGATAGCTATCCAGTGCTCATGATGCGTTAAAGTCCTAATTATTAACAAATACTGGTGAATTTTCTTTCAAATTGAAACTGAAGCCCTCGTTAATATTCACGCGAGTGCGTTTTACTACAATTTAAGTCCCTAAAGTACCCACAAGATTTTGTGTATTTACGGGGCCCTACTTTTACTTCCTTGAAGGCCATAATGATTGAGGAGGAACGCGCACGTCGAAGAAAGGCTCGAACGCTGAACCAACTTCTTGATCCAGTTTCGGCTTCTCGCAGTCCCAATGCCAAAGTCGAGCCACCCTACAAGACCCGCTATGATACTCACAACTTTGCCTGTAAGTCGGTCATTTTTAGGCTATGTATAATAATAATGATGATATTCTGTGGGTGGACTCTACACAGCTTATTTTTTGCCCACACGGACAAGGTCATTAGTTATGCATTGGTTCGCAGTTAACAGGAGAGGGATGCTAAGTTTCTTCACAGCATACCTGTTCACTGCAGTTGTCGTTTTATGATTGCTGTGGAATTTTTTTTCGATTACGAATTTGGTAAATCAACTTGCTCTTTGTCATGTGCTGCGTTAGCCCATACAAGATATTTCCATGAAATTTTGTGTACCATTTATTACTCTATAATGTCTGCACCAAGTCGAAACTATTTCTGGCATTTTGGGAATCCTCATTCATCTGGGAAAAGGGCATAATGACTTAATCACGAAATGTTTCCGAGTGGGCAATCGGAATTTTGTCCGCGTTTATTCGATGCATCTGGAAGTTCGCTGGAGTGCTTGGACTTTTATCCCCTTACCTTGTAGAAAAGTACCAAATTCTCTGCCTCATTTATTCCCCAGTGTTTTTGTGTTCTATTGAAAAAAACTCTTGATTAGAATCTTGGAGTATTGTTGATCAAAGTCACCTTTCGGTGCATAAGGCCTTCACCATGAGGAGTCGAACGAACGCTACCAGATGAATTCAGGTGGGGATGTGGTTAAGTATTGAGTCTGAGAGAATGAGTCTGGGAGAAGGGTCGCGTTGAAGTTGATTCGAAGGTGTCAAAGTGTGAATAGGTTAACTGAAGTTGGATGGGTATATTGTTCGTACCAGCGTTATTCAGCTTTTATCGAACTATTAACTAAATCAAACGATTGCTAACGTCACCTCAATAAAATTTTCTCCTTAAATCAATTACGTGTAGCCGATTGTCTTCATTTTTATTGATCGACTTCAGATTTACATCAGCTTTATTTTTTAGATTTGCTAAACCTAAAAGACTTGATCCTGGGGGTTTTCCACCTTAAAAGAAGCACCCCCCCCCCTCCTTTAGGGTAATGGAAATTTCATATTTCAAATAAGTTTTAAATTTATGTTTCGACTTGAATATGTCATGCCATAAACAAAGCAAAATTGTGAGAATATATATATATATATATATATGCCTATTGTGGTCATACGTATGCGCATGTAAGTGAATATTGATCAAGGAGACTAATTAGGTAGCCTCTGATGAATATGTAATGTTGTGGAGCACTAAGATGCCTCTAATCAGCATCATTGAAACAAAAGGTATGTTGTTGGGCTATTATATGGGTTTTCGTTTAATTATGAACGCACATTTACTGAGCAGTGTTATTTCCACTCGTTTGATCTTACTTTTTCCCCGCAAGAATCTTTACCCCCATCATTGGATTCCCCTTTTACCATTTGTCTTATAAGCTGTTGGTTTTTGGATGAAATGCTGCATATTTAGGCGTATATTTTAATTTAAGTGTAAAAAAGAGATTTGACTAAGTTAAACTATTCCATACTAACTCTGTGACTCAAAATTTGAGATTAGCTCCAACCTTCCCAAGTCCATTAAACCTGGATATTCGCTTTATTCCTGTATCTACCGCGTTTGTACAGTAAGAGTAAGTGAATGTCGACCTTTACTCTTTAAAATCTGCATTTCGCGCAATTATTGCTCAATTGCCTTCAATCGAATGAAATTTTTTTCCGGTATACCAAGACAGCAAGCTCTTTAAGGTAAAGTAGTTCGAACTATGCATATCCTTTTCCAAGTCACTTCTTTCATACGACTTTCTGGTTGAATGAATTTCGTAGTCAATTTGCTCTTTGTCTGATCTCATTACAACTTATAAGAGAGGGAAATTTGTGCGGATCAAAATGGAATTAATGTGTGGAATATGGGAAACCTGCACTTGAAATAGTCGATATATTACATGAATATATAAATTTACCACACGCATATATATATTACATGCCTAGGGTATTATTGCTACGTTACTTATTAAATTGGGGTGGTAATTTAATGAAAGCTGACAGTAATCACGCGCCGTGGAATGTCGTCCTAATTTCTGTTAATCGTGCTTATTTCACAGCTTGCATCCTAACGATTATGAAATAGCTGCATCGCTTTATAATGTTAGTACAGCTGTGGAGTAACTAGGACGTCCATTACATAGATATTGACAAGTAAACACACCTCCACTTCTGTATTTGTCTCGCGCTTATTGCGCGAGACAAATAGGTTACCTCCGGTTGTGGAAATATTGGGTCGTTCTTCGTCTGTAATCTAAGACACTTTTAGAACCGCCAACTATACTCAAGAGTAAGGGTTTGAATATGTCTTTTTTTATTAAGAAAAATGCAAGGGCAATTACAAAATTTGGAGCCAAATGCATTGTTAAATTTTTATCTTGATGATTCTCAATCAAATTTCGGTAATTTAGGAACCGCAATGTGTATTTTCGAACTCATGTTTTCTTGTCCATCTCTAAGTAATAATATTCCGGTTACCAGTTAAAAATGGGACTTTTTGAGTCTCAAAATTTTGAGCTGACAGATTTTCATCCTCAATAGCCAACTCAACTATTGCATAGTTTTTTATTTGCTACTTTACAGTGGAATCATGTAATCTATTAAGGCCTTTTATTCATCATACTAGTTCTCACGTAAGATCATTCATTTTATTTGCAGCAATTTCGTTTATTTGAAAAACATATTTGTTCACGTAATCACGTTTTGAAAGATTGAAATAACGGCCTATCGTATGCCTCTTTCACTAAACCTCACCCCACCCCACCTCACTCCACCCCAATCCCAACCCATTACCACTACAGCTCCATCTCGAGAGAGTCAACGCAATTCTGTGAGTCCACATCGACTTGGCTATTCACTTGAACTCGTAAATCTTGGTTGTCGAACATGGACCGCGTCCGATTTATCATATTCCTCGGCTTTCAATCGCAGCCGAGATTCTGCCTCGCGTAAGACGAAATACTCAATGCACCACACCTCTCTCTCAATCTCTTCCTGCAATCCGCTGCATGTCTAATATTTAATCGCACTCCTTCCTCCCTGGTTTGGTCTGTTCTCGTCCTTCTATTATTCCTCAGTCTTCCCCTGTCTGTTGTTGCATGATGAAAGTACGCATTGCAAACGAACTAACAGTGTTGGCTATGGGTGGTGCCAATGGTGCTTCTTGTACTACCACGCAGTTAATCCCTCCTTTAAACCTCACTTTCCTTGCAGTTTTAGCTCAAAGTTTTCGACGCACGATTGGGTGTAAGTGTGTTGTGGTGCGCTCATTATGATCAAATAGTTATGAGTTACTTACTAATATTCAGTAGCAAGAGTAGGTATTTAAATCAATCATCTATTCATTCTCTGCTCATCTCTTCTCCCTCCAATACATTTGCATCATGATCTGTTCTCACCTTGCTGTCGGCATGATAATGTTACTTAGCCCTCCCCATTAATGGATCATTTTGTGTGGTATTTTAGATAACTCTGCGGGACTCAGACCCGGGTATACTGCTGGTCAACTTTCGTTGGGCTCATCAAAGACTTCTAGCATCCCTGGCCCGCAATGCTTTTCGTCTCCAGGACTTGATACACCTCATAATGGTTATGCTGCAAATGGAGAAATTAATGGAAGTAAGTAATACGTTAACAGAAATTATGACTCCATTCATTTATATGAACATTTATTTATTTATATCAAATGGCAGGCGTTTTGATGGTTATCATCAGCCCTTTAGTTGACTTCAGGCTTCACAGAGGGAAAGGAACATCAAAATGAAAAAAAGTAGAGTTGGCTGGGGGAACAGAAGAGTGTTTCAAAGATGTAGAAGATGCAGACACAAAGGTAGAAAAAGGGTGATGTGAGTACAGTGAAGTAGTCGAATATGACATACAGTGAGGTGATGGTAG